GGCTACATGTCCAGTTCCTCACTCCTGTATTATGGAGTCGTGTTCCCAACCACTTCCTCAAGGTAAAAACTCCTTTTTGGGGGCTTCTTTTGTTGCTTTGTTTTGGTGGACAACAGATAAAACTAGGCAGAGCTTATTGACAAAATGTTAAAATCAAAAAATGTGCAATGTATAGAATAAAGGGGTGTAAAGGCTGACTGTTCTGAAAAGAAGAGACTGTAAAAAGTAAAACAATTGGGAATGCTTCTGTCTTAAATTCATCTTACTTGTTTTTTCAGGTGTCGCATCCAGAGTGAATGAAGACACTGGCTGGCGGTCCCGAGTGTAAGCGAACCTCTCCAGTTTATGTCTCTGCCATTATACCTGAGGAGAACAGGTGGAATAACCACAGCTACTCACACACACTTCTCCATCCACCCGCTCTCTAATTTCTCATGCAGTATCTCTCTTTGTGTTGACTAGGTCAGTGGATATCCTTGAGCTGTCCGAGCAGAGGGACCTATTAAAGTTTCACTACCATACACTCAGACTTTACTCTGCAATCTGTGCTCTGGGAAACAACCGGGTGGCACATGCCCTCTGCTCCCACGTAGACGAGTCACAGCTCCTACAGGCTATAGAGAATAAGTACATGCCAGGTAACACACACACACACACACACAGTACACAGTACAAAAAGAATAACTTCATGAAAATAAGAAATGTTGTGTTTTCGGCCTTTGATGTTTTTTTTTTTTTTTACACACAGGCAAGTGGTATTCAGTTGGTGGCAATCTCCAACTTCCCAACAAAGTATTCTGATACAGTACAACTTTTACTGGGTTTTTTCTGGTTGGCTGAGCCCCACAAGAATAAAATCACTTATTTTTATTATGCTTTTTGAAGAAATATTGTGTATTTTGCTAATTAATCTTAGGTCAAGGTATAAATTCTGAAATTCAGCTCAATAAAGTAATAAAAATAAATTTTTTCAGAAAGTCTATCTCTCATTGTTTGTAATAAGCACAACTTGTACTTGAACAAAATGTAAGTGTGTCAATTTAAATATTAATCAACTGTGGTTTTCATTTTACACTTAGAATACAGGTACTCAAATAAAAATGGCTAAAAATAAATATACTTATTTAACAAATAGGGTGAAACTTCTGACACATTGGCTCTCCTTAAACAATAAGTTGATGTCAGGAAATGGTTACTGTATATATAGACCAGTATAAAGAATAAATACATGCAATTGGTACTATGAGATAATGGAAGTAGTCTATTCATTATTAAGAACATAAATGGTATGTTTAAGGGATACTGTTTTAGTTGAATGTATATAACTATTACTCCCACCCACAGGTTTGCTTCGTGCAGGCTACTATGACCTCCTCATTGACATACACCTGAGAAGCTATGCTACGGCTCGCCTCATGATGAACAATGAGTACATCGTTCCCATGACAAACGAAACCAAGAGCATCACCCTGTTTTCAGATGAGAAGAAGAAGCATGGCCTGCCAGGCATTGGCCTCAGCACCTCCCTGAGACCCAGAATGCATTTCTCATCCCCGAGTTTTGTCTGTGGGAGTGGACAATCGTATCGTAACAGCAACAATGGCTCAGGTTCAGGAGACTGTTTCCAGTACAGCCCTGAATTCCCCTTGGATATACTGAAAATTAAAACCATCGAGATGCTAACAGAGGCAGTGCGGGAGGGAAGCTTGCATGTGCGGGACCCAATAGGAGGCAGCACTGAGTTTCTCTTTGTCCCACTCATTAAGCTGTTCTACACCATGCTCATTATGGGAGTTTTCCAAAATGGAGATCTGAAGAACATCCTCAGACTGATTGAACCATCTGTGTTCTCCGAAAGACGAGAGGGGCAGGAGGACATGCAAATAGAGCTGGAGGTGGTGAAGGAGTTGGAGACTGAAGGAAAAGGAGAGGATGGAGGGAGAAATATGCCTAAAGAAGGACTGTTGCAGATGAAGCTACCGGAGCCTGTAAAACTCCAGGTGAAAACTCAGTACAACCCCTTAGTTTGTTGTACTATATCAGCGTATTTACAGACCTAGTGTTTTTTTAAATAATAATCAATGTAACAGTGAGTCATTGTTTTTGCTGTCACAGACAGTTGACTGTGGTTCAATATAAGTAGTAGAAAACATCAAATAACAGTTAAAAATCACCTACTTTTCCTCAACTATCCAGGTGATTAGATGTTATGGGTGTTACAATCAGTGTTGGGCATTAAGGCATAACTAGTACTAATATTACAGTCATTATATTACTTTCCCCAGTAACTAGTAGTGCATTCAGCACCCGGAAATAGTATCATTACTTCGATTATAAGAAACAAAACTGGATTTTAATAGTTGTAAGTCTGAATTTTAGGGAGAAGGGACCCAATTACCAATTTTGAGAATCAGAAAAGTAATATAACTAGTAGTGTAAGTAATTACTGTTGACAGGGAGTGTTAAGTTAAGTAATAATATTACTTTCAAAAAGAGTAATGAGTAATAAATTAGTTAAAAAGTAACAAACACCACGACAAAACAGCACAGTGCATAGACAACAGAGGAATCTTATGGCCAGAATCTGTGCTAGATGAGCCCCTGAAGACAAAAATACAGCATGGCCTCAACCCAACAAGACACCAGAATAAAAGTTTGTGCAACACTGATTTAGTATCAGAACAGCAGAGGAACGAGGCTGACTGAATGTGGCACATACACACAACTTCATGAATGACAAAACAAGCAAGATGCGGTTTAATATTAGCTGGAGACGAGCTGTTAACAGTACAAAAGATGTAAAAAAACAAATATGCATTTATATATATATAAACATGTATATTTTATAATTTTGAAAAAAATATTTTTAAAAATTCTTGCTAAATCAAACGCTTCCTCCTCACTTGAAATAAACACATTGGGGAAAAGTCAGCTAGATGTAAACATTTTTTTCTGTAATAGTCTTTCTGCTTTGAAGCCGAAGCATGTTAGCATTCTCTTAATGCTATAATATGTCCCGAGAGAAGAGCAGTGGAACACTTGGTATGATAAAACATAATTTTTTTTAAAACCCATCAGAACCAGAAAATAAAGCTAGTATGTCTAAGAAAAAAACACAATTAAAAGCACAATTAAAGCAACTGGTGGTACTTCAAAGAGCTACTGGCAAGAGCACAAATACAAAAATGTTCAGAATTTTGATTTTCTTAGCCTTCAAGTTTCAGCAATACCTAAGCAGTACCTTAAAAAGTAAGGACAATGACAGGACGTACTGTAACCTACAAAAATATATTACATATTTTTTCATATTCAAGTTTTTCATCATAATATTTAGTTAACTCTATATTATGTGTGTGTGTGTGTGTGTGTGTGTGTATATAGATGTGCCACGTGCTACAGTACCTGTGTGACTGCCAGGTGCGTCATCGCATCGAGGCAGTGGTAGCATTCTCTGATGACTTTGTGGCTTGTCTCCAAGAGAACCAGCGATTTCGCTACAATGAGGTGATGCTAGCCCTTAACATGTCTGCTGCCCTCACTGCCAAGAAGA